TTAGGACTGTTTCTACCCTAAAAAAATACACTGGCTGACAAAAACGGACAGTTATCTGTTTCTTCCTTTTAAAGATCATATTCTGTCCAAAAAAAAAAAAATCCCCCTAAAACACAAAAAACAATATGTCAGACAGGTCAGGTCTTCACCCTCTGAAACTTGAAGCATATTCCTGCATAAGGGAAAAAATGATGAGCTTCCATCACTCTCTGACTACAACAAGCTTGCCAATACCATACGGGTGCAATACAAGAAGCAATGCAGAGGCAGAGATCATATTTCTTCACGATATAAAAAGCAGTTCATAAATCACTTTCATTAATTAACCTTAACTGTCAACAACCAGTAAAGACTTCATATGCTTTTACGGGTCTGTGAAACTTGAACTATGGTGCTCTTTGGCACTGGACAAGGCAACCTTTAGTTATCTAGCTAAGTGACAAAAATTCAGTTCAAGCTATTTAAGCTGTAACTGAATTATGCTCTCACTAGAGCAATACCTGGGCTCTCAAAGAGAGCAATGCCTGCTTCCATAGCCCTTGGGCTGCCCTATCAAAACACTTACAAGAAAAAGAACTCAGAAGGAAAGATTAACAGAAATAAGCCGGAAAACCAAAAGCCCGGAGCGCTGTTGATGCATTCAATGATTTCTCTAGAGTGTCTACATGCATGACTACATACACCACTTCTGACTGAAAATGCCATGAGATAGCTACTGAATGGAAAATGTTCCTCTTTATTTCGGAAGGGGTTTGTGAAACAGTTTGAAAGACAGCCATTTTATCCTCATTTAAAATCCACCACTGTGAATAGGCTAAAGCAACATTTCCATTGTTCACTTAAAATATTTGAAGTTTGTTATAGAAGTGGTTTGAGTGTTCCGCAATGGTAGTAATATGAGAGGCCAGAAAAGTTCTATAATTCAGAAGGAAAGATCCAGGAATGGATGCATTGTTTGTGAAAGATTGTAGTTAATGCAAAAAAACCTTGAGTTCAGAACTGGGTACTCTGCATTTTCTCCACTATTTCTCAGAACCCTGGACTAATCACGTTATTTCCTAAAGAACTCTAATGTTAAATCTCTAAAAGAAACAGTGTCTATTACCTTTTCAAAATCTGTATCCTCCCTTTAGACCTCATTTTCACTAGTGTTTTTAAGTGCTTGTATTTCCACAGAGAGAACACAACTGCTCAAGATCCCATCTGTGAAGACTATCAGACAAGATAACAGCCTCTAACTGAAATAAGAATGAAGAGAAATTGTGGAAAGTGCTCTAGGAAGCCTAGAGGACTGATAACCAATTTGTTCTGGGCCCCCCAGCAGCTCAGCTAGCAATCAGTCGTATTTGAAGATGTTTTTAAGATTGCAATATTTATCTTTTATATCTACTTCTCTCTCACTTTCTGTTTGCTCATAATTACGGAATATAATGCTCATATCATCAAATTCTTACTTGCTGTTTTTCACTCCAAGCTCAAAAGAAGTTGGGATCACAAATATAGTAGCACATATAGTAGATGATATGACAATTTAAAGGTCTGTTTAGTTTATGTTGGGCAAAAAATTGCATGAAAAATTCATCTAATACAGTTTATATTTGTCAGCACATTAGAACATGCTTCTTGAATTACAATGCATTTATCATTAGGCTGTTTACTGCAACTTTTGGCAATAATTTAAAAATTTTTTTTAACTTAATTTGAACTTTTGATTTCTATTGCTGTTGAATGGTGTCATGTTTGCTTCTAATAAAATTAAAGTTTGTAATTTGTGGCAAGAGACTAATTTTGTATCAAAATATATACAAATTAGCATTGCAGAAAAAATACATTATCTCTTGAAGGTATGATGCAAACTGACATTTATGAGAAAGGGAAATTGATGAAAAAGAATTTTTATGCAAAACAACATTTATGTCCTAGGGCAGAAAGGATAAAGGGATCTTTTGTTTTTTAAGGAGCTGCATATGCAGTTTGTTGATAACTGACAGTCTTAGAGCCTCCTCGTTACCCATCACCATAAAGAGAGGCATGTGGAGCTATGTTACTGAAGACAGAATATAATTGCATGAACTTTGTCAAGAGACCACAAATATGGATACTTAATTAAAAAATGCAACTTAATCATCTAAAGATCATAGCAGCAAGACAAAAAGAAGAGGGACAAAGGATACATCTATACAAGTCATACAGGCATGACATTTATTACTGATGTAAAAATAAAATAAAACAAAATAAAAACTGTGCTGAAGGACTTTTGTCTATTTTGAAGTCAAAAGTGCCATATTTAACATGAAGTAGAAAGAAAGTTGAGCCAATCCTCAGGCCCATTTCCTGAGCAAAGATTAAACTAATCCTGAACTTCTGCAGCCAGTTAAATCTGCCTCCTGAGGAAAAGTGAAGAGACTAAGCTGGCAAAAGGATGCAAGTGGTTTAGCCCAGATGAGATAGCTCCTGTGTTCCCTTGCTTTTGGGTGGGATTTAGACATGGCTGCAGATCACCTCAGGGACCAGCAAGAGATTTTGCATGTGTAATGCATATGGGATCTGGGAACAAACAGATGGTATGTCAAGTCACCACAACTTCAGGTAGGAGAAGTTCTGGGGATAGGTGTAGTATAGGTAGTTAAGTTACCTCACCAGAGCAGGAAAGAGGGGCAAATCCTTGAAGGCATGGCTGTAGCACCTCTATTGTTTCCGATCCTGGGCAAGGAACAAAAGGAAAACAAAACAAAAGGCTTTGTGGTTTAAGCCTTTGGACTGGAAGACTGCCCAGAAAGCAAAGATGCGTTTACATAGTGAAGAAGGCTGAAAAAAAAAACTAAGAAGGATGCCTCTCATACTACAGAGGCCTCACAAGGTCACTAATTTGAAGATCTGATGCAGGGCTATAAGTAGGTTAGGTAAATAATTGGCTAGTTTTTTTCAAGATAATTTTTCTTGATTAGATAGATATTGCTGACAATTCCCATTCAAGATCATAAAGAACAGAATTGTTCTTGCAGTCCAGTATTTTTAAGGGTCTATATCATAGCACAGAGTGGTTTGTAGCTGGTAAAGAGGAAAAAGATTTCAGAATAAAAATTGAGAAACAGCACTGTTCTCAGGGAAGAATGCCATGGCTGTGGTTTAGGTGGACTGAAACGACATTTGAAACAGGACTCCTCCTAATTTTTTTTCTTCTGTTCTGCCTTACAGAAAGATAACATTGATCCATGACTCTGCTAGCTATGCAACTTGCCAGTGGTATTGATAGTAACTGGAGTCATGGGATTTAGTTGAGTAAGTACTGGTTCATTGCTACAGCATTAGCCAGTTAAGGTTTTAGTTTCATGGTCGGTACGTTTGACAAAGCCATTATGGTATGTTATTCCATTTTCTGCTTTGTGTTTGAATAATTGATTCAGTGAAGGAATGGGTTGTGGCTCAGGAGGCACGGCTGCTAACTGCAACATTATTTCCTTGACTTGTTTCACGCACAGATTAGATGCTAAAACCTGTAAGCTGGCAATTGCAGGTCAATCAGACGTGTTCTGGGAGTTTCAGCAGATGACAAGATTGAGAATCTTGACCCACATGGCTGTGTACGTAAGGACTCAAGCTGGATGCTTGTCAGGGAGGCTCCTGTCCCTGGCAACAAGTAGCATCTTCTCCATTTTCCTGTGATTTCTTTAAAGAAAGAAGGGAAAACAGGAAAGACTTTCCCCTATTGGTGGTAGTGGCACAGTGACAACAAACAAGTAGCAGAAGTGGCCAGGCAGTCAACCCTCCTGCAACTAAAGTAGTTCCTGAAGTGCAATGACAAGCGGACTACACCCACCGTCTGCCCAGAGGCAGAGTGAAGCTTTCTTTCACACATCTGACAGAAAGCTCTGTGCTGTTGGTGAAAGAACAGCGCATGAAGGCCTAACAGCCTTTACCTCTGCCATTTTAGAGGGACTGGCTGAGCTGCTACAAGGAGCACCCTGAGAAACAGAAGCCCAAAAGCTGCAAGACCTGTTTTCAGTGGCTTGGCACGGGACAGCCATAAATCTGCTGCTGTTAAAACAACTGTGTAGTGTCTAAAGCCAGACAAAATATTTCCTAACACCACCCACGGCCAAGCAGGAGACACCTGTGGAACTGCATGGACGTGCCACCTCACATTTATCTTGCTGGGGAAGAAGAGAGAACACTGTACTAGAGCAACCAAGTGTCTTGGGAGAGAGGCTCTCGAGCTGACCCAATCCGGGAAAGATTGATGAAGAGAATTGTCCCACAAGTACAGAGTTTTGTATTTGGCTTTAAAAGATGTGTCCAGAAGGAACATATCAATTTAACCTTTTCCTGATAAAAGAACCTCTCTAGCGTTACGACTATCAATGTAAGACACTAACAAGATCTAACACATGAAAAGATACAAATATGCACAAATTATTTTTAAAAGCCTTCATTTTTAAGAATTTGAGATGCCTATGCTGCTTCTTACTTAGGCTTTCCATCGATATTGCTTTAAGAAATATTTTAAATAAACAACAGTGATGAGCGTGTGGGAGAACAGATTGTAAAGTAATCAACAGTGTGCAGAATCAGCTTCTGCGGACAAGGCCTGACCATCTGATACAGAAGACCTGATATGCAGGACACCCCAGCAATTGGAAGTGTTTAGGGTATTCACACATATAAAATAATTGTTTATAAAATAAGCATTGATGTAAATGTGTAAGTATTATATTCTGCATTTAAAGTATTCATACTTGAATATCTAAGAATTCTGCTTCAGCAAAAGAGATATCATAAAAAATTTTCTCTTTCATTCCAAGCAGCAACTGACTCAGTGCCTTCTTTTGTTATACATTTTATATATATATACACATATAATCTGATGTTAAATAACTCTTTCAAAATGTACCATATATTCAATTTAAATTAATTCCCATGCTTCCAATATCGTTAGAATTGCTACAAATTATTGTACTTACAAGTGCCACGTTACTTGGAGAAAAATGACAATATCTTACCGCTATGCTTCCATTGCACCCTTGGGACTGACAAACACCTGTAATTCTGTTTGGAATGAGCACATCCTCCCAGCAAGATGGACCCTTCAAAATAAAACCAAAGCATGTAAGTGTTTTAATCTACTCAATAAGAAAACATATAAAAGTTGATTTTTATTGCCTCTCTCCCTACCCCTATACTCTGTTAGAATTTAGCCAGACAGTTTTATTATTTTTATGCTGAAAAAGTAAAATTGGATTATAAAACTACATTTATCAGTAAAGCTCAGTAACTGACAGGACATACAGCCCTTCCATCCTGCAGTCAATGTTGTGAACAGTCAAACAGTCTTGTAGTATGTTTCGTCAGCTTAAAAGTTCAGGCATGGACTTTCTTAATTATGAATAAAAACCTACAGTTTCATCTTCTGGCTGAACCCTGTTTATCTTGCCCTGTAGCTGACTTAGGGCAAATGGAAAAAATAAGATAGTTGGAAGCTGAATATTTGATGGAAATACTGGAAAATACATGAAGACTAGGTCAAGTTGTATTCCTGTATTTTGCTGTTTAACTCTGGAAGTATTAAATAACTGTAGCTTTACAGAAATCTGACTTACATGGGCTGTTAATGTGGGCTTTGATATTATTTGCAGTAAACAAATTAGACTTCTTTTCATCAAACAAAACTTTAATCTAACTATAATACAACACAATGAACATATACAGTGAGGACTGTTAGTAAACTCCTGGACATGTTAATTAGTTTCAAGATTTATTAGTTGTCATTAAGATGGAAAAAAAAAAAACCTTGAAAAGTAAAATGATCAAAAACCCTAAACAAACTTTGCTACGACTTGTTGAATAGAAAGAGTTCATTTATGAGTGCATTACAAAACAAGAAGGAATAGTAAATTAAAAGACAACTAGTTAGGTAAAAGGTAGCTTGAACATGAGCAAACTACATTGCAGGTAGACACAAAGGTGACTACAGGTAGATATATTGTTGACTCTTTGGGGAAAAAATAGCTGTAGTATAGTTGATATAACTCACTCTACTAGGAATCATGAAAAAAAACCTTAATTCATTATTTAAAGCATTTGAAAAATGATTTTTTCCATGAATTTCTCCAGTGATTTTTGAACTGATAAGAAGTTTGATCCATTCCTGTCTATGAACCATCTATTCTACTTGCACTTATATAATAAATGTACAACTCCCAAAGTCAGTGCTGTTTTGCCAGTACACACACAAAAATGAAACAGCCACAAGGTTGCTGTAGAGTAAGACAGTTAAAAACTCTCTCAAGAGAAGAACCAGTTCTGCAAGTGTAGGTTGTCAACCACGGTACTGACTATCTTGATTTCACAAGTAGAAATTATTTCAAGCCAATTTTTTGGCAGGTATCAACCCTTTAACTTCATTGGAGTTATTTCCCAAGTATTCAGTAGTTTGCAGCTCTGAGTCCATAATCAGGCAAGTGTAAGAAGGCATAATACCTCCTAAGCAAGAAAGAAAACATGCAGAAGACTGTTTATACGATTAATTGAGTGAGATTCTGGAAAAGTGGCTATTTAAAATGGATTTGAAATAGTGCAACTATGTTAATTATGCCACAGTCTTACAGGATTTGAGAAACTAGCAGCTGATTAGCAAAATGTAATCAGGAAACCATCCTGGAAGAAACCAAAACAAAAGAGATTTCATGAAGTATCAATTGCTGTTAGTTAGAATTCAATGACTACAACTGGCATTGGATCAGGTCCAAAGATGGTTTAATATGGCAACATCTTTTTACTTATTAGTAGTAGCATCAATTTTAAATGAACTTTTCGGTCACTTCACATGGTCTTATCTATATAGGAAAGTTGTGTGCTATATGGCATGGTGTGAAGTTACAGTGCTCTCACTTTTCTGCCGTAATTTCCTTTAGACACACAAAGGTGCTTTTTGTCTGAAGCAGCTTTCTGGTGGAAATGAGAGTATACCATCTTCCACTGAGGGTAGACTAGAGCACTTACACAGGGAACTAGTAGCACAGTCGCACACTGCCAGCGGCTACTCTGCTGTACACTCACACTATAGCTTATAACTTCCTCATGTGTCTATATAAGCAACACCCTATCCACCACTGGTTTATACATCATTAATTACAACTATGGGCATACAACCTTTGACAAAATCATATATATTTCGCTTTTTTGATAACATTGACTACATCTGGCCTTAAGCTAAGTCAATAGCATTTTCTCTTTATTCTAGCAAGAGTCAGATGATGTTCTCTAGGGACAGATTGATCCAGCAGCAGAAGTCCAAGTCTAGGAAGCAGAAGATCTTGGTTCTGTACCTGTCCGGCTGTCAGATGTAGTGTAGGGGGGGAACCCACAAAATCTATGCCTCACTTTTGACACCTATAAGCAACAGGAATTCTCCTTTTCCAAATCTGTGCTTGACATTCTTCAGCGTCATATTTTGTTGTTATTAATGATAATGCAATATATTTGTAAAAGATCCTGTGGAATGGAGAATTTGAGTTTTCCATCTTCAAAAAACAGCAAAAAGGCATACATCCCTGAAGAATAGTGTGTAGTCAAAATGTTAATGTTTCTTTAGCCAAAGTACCACTAAACATCATTGCTATAATTGTGCCATAATAAAATTAGGAATTCAAGGGAGATAAACAGTTTGAAATGCAATTTTTGTTCCGTCCTGAGTGCAAGAAAATCCTATCAAACTGCAAATCAGCCAACCAATCAGTTGCATTGTTGTAACACTGCGCACTCTGTAGTGTTTGCAATTATTAGTTTGCTTTAATCAGGAATGCATTGTGAGAAGAACAAAACCTTCTGATTGCAAGATCAGCAACTGCCCTTCCAGAACACAGACACATGATTCAAAAATAGCTACTCATCAAAATGAATATATCAGAGGATACTTTTCCCAGTGTATAAATGGGAAAATGTTAGAATAAAGAAAAAAGTATAAAGAATATCAGAATATCATTGAATTTAAAAAAAAATAGACCAAATGCAGTTGAATTTGTTTTTACAGTTGGAATAGGAACTTTTATGTTTTGGGTATTTGGTGGTTGTTTTTCCTTTTTTGTAGGAGGGACACTGGAAGAAGTTTGCACAGAGCATATTAAATTTGAACCAAAACTCATACTAAGCATGTGAATAACAAAGAGGATTCACATGCTATTCAGTGTATAAAGGAAGCAGTGGAAATCCACATATTTTCCACTGTACTGGTGCACAGTACCATGTACCATATACTGTACTTTCACTATATTTTTCATCAGTACCCAAGATACAATTTTGTATTGTAGAATCACAACCGAATTTTAGTCCTTTTCAATGATCACTTAAAGAGCCCATGAGAACAGAAGGAGTATCTAGAGATCTCAGATGACAAATTATTCAAAATGCAGTTGCTAGCAGAGCTGTTGACCTGTGAAAACTGGGAAAGGTCAGAAACAGGGGTCAGCAATACAATCCAGTGATTCATCAAATAGTTTGAATCATTTAAAAGCCTGGAAACTATCCATGTATTTAATGCTTTGTATTTTCCCTGCTTTATATTCTCCCCCAGTGAACAATATGCAGCAGAATATCATTAAAACACATCCTTATACCTGCTAATATCTATATGAGAGACATAAATCATTATAATGTTGAGCAAATGACCCAATCAAGGGACACATATTAATGGAGAAAGATTTTTAAAATAATGTAAGAAATAATTCCTGGTGCTTGAGAGGGTTTAAAATCAGCATATAAGTCACTAAGAAAGTGCTGAATCTAATACTACCCATGTAAGGACTCAGACTATTTTGGAAAGTAATGGCGATAGTCTTGCCTATATGAAAGCATTTGAAGAGGTAATCCTAGCATGGTGCCTCCCATCATGATTTTAATATCTTGACGCAATAAGACAGAAAATCTCCCCCAAATACTAAAATTACTTTAAAAATTTGGTCCTTTTTTTTTTTTTGTTTTTGCCAGAGTGACATCCACAGCAAGATAACACTATTCACTGCTTCCAGTGCCAGTACGGAAGGAAAATTCTGGCCCCAAATAAGTGAACAATCCAGAGGTATTCTGACACCAAACGTATAGAATAGCTTAACACGGACCATGAACACTAGGCGAAACAGTGACGGATCCCACCTATTGTCAGAAACATAACATGTCTTTCTTCTCTAAAATCTAGCACTTTCTAAGTCTTTTATTCTTATTACGATAACTCCATAGCATTTCAGAGCAAGTGATTTGCAAGAAGACTATAATCTGTCTATAGCCAGAACCATAAGAAACCAGCTCCTGTAAGCTCATAAGTATCTCATCATAACTGACCATCATAACTGATGAGGAGGCTGGAGAGGAGTCCGTAGATGACATATTCCCAAGAAACGGAACAGAATCTAGAGCTAGTGAAAAGGAACAACGAAAAGGGCTTTTTGTGGGATAGGCAAACTGGTAATTATTCTGGCTAAATATTAGTGCATTCACAGTTTTTCACAGAATCCCTACCTAGAAGATCATTTGCTCTTTACTATCTACACTTATCACTACATTGACATTGTTGAATGCTGGCTGAGTGTGGCTATAAACCATTCACATAAAAGCTTACATCCTATTTTACTAGTGCAGTAATGGAGATAACAAGACTTTTGGATACAGTGATTCATATTTTATAAATTCTTAACAGGTTTAATTTAGGGGACCCATCTGATCACCTTTTCAAGCTTTTCTTACTGAGAATAATCTAGCTGGTATATGAGTAATACTCAGTCAAACTCAGCAAAAAAAATCACATGATCTGCTTCTAATAGTAAAGAGATTGGAGAGCTCATTTCAATTCAGTACAAGCATATCTGTTTGAATCATAGCATTCTTGTAAAGCTCCATATTAATTTTAGCTTTCTCTATATCTTGACAATTATGGATACAACTAGACTATATTTATTAAATGAGATAAGACACTTATTAGATTTCTAGTGAATGCTCAGATATCAAATAAACATTATTACATTCTTCCTAAGTAAAACTGTATGAGTAACAGTATCCATTTTGTGTAAAATGTATTTCTCTAAACCCCCAAAGC